ATGATTCTGTAGACAATTACTGAGTAATTTATGCTTTGAAGCAATTGGTACCATCAGCTACTGTATTACGTGTGCAAGGTAGCAGCTTAATTCTCAAATCTTTCATATTATATTTAGCGGACGTATTTCATGTCAGAAAAGTTCTCAAACTCTACTGAAGTTTATCTCAGCGTCCAACAGCCCATGCCGACTGGTATTTAATCCTACAGATTGCGTACGTTCGTCTGTGGTTAGTCGCTCGACATCTGCGCAACTTTTAGACCAGTTTACTGATATAATCAACTTGATGATTGTTTCTTTCCTGGGGACCTATAGTGACGACTTATTGCATTTTCATGTCATTCATGAATGAACTACAATACTCTGAATCCGGTCTGCACACATTACTTGTTTCTATGCCGGGCAGGGCTCAAGCAATTAGCATCCAGGATGTCAAGAACAACCTTTGTTTAGTAAAACAGTATGCATAACGTTGGAATCTTTTAGTAATCCGGACCGGTCTTTTGATAATAGCTTGGACGTAGGGCACAATCTTTTATCATTTAAATATTCGTAATTAGAATAAGAATGCCACGTTCTACGGGTTACGAAAATCTACTAACCATTGATTTATTAAACTTCTTATACCTACATTTTGTTATCGCGATCTTTACTCAATATCCGTGGGTTCACTGCATCACGCACAAATCTTTCGCCTTTTACTAAAGATTTCCGTGCAGAGGACCGCTATGATCGGTATATAACAATTTATCGTTGCCTCGTCTACGGACGAGGCTATAAAAGAATAATGCAAAGAAAGATATCACATATTTCACTATGATACAGTAGACAATTACTGAGTGATTTATGCTTTGAAGCAATTTCGACGACTTCCCAAAAGGTATCATCAGCTACAGTACTGTTAACTTGTGCAAGGTGCAATGCAATGTTTTTTTCCTGGGGACCTATGGTGACGAGTTAATGCAATTACCTGTTATTCATTAATGAACTACATACTTTGAATCCGGTCTGCACACATTACTTGTTTCTATGTCGGGCAGGCCTCAGGCAAGCATCCCGGATTTCAAGAACCACCTTTGTTTAGTAAAACAGTATGCATAACGTTGGAAACTTATAGTAATCCGGACCGGTCTTTTGATAATAGCTTGGACGTTGGGCACAATCTTTTATCATTTAAATATTCGTTATTAGAATAAGAATGCCACCTTCTACGGGTTACGAAAATCTACTAACCATTGATTTATTAAACTTTTTATACCTACATTTTGTTATCGCGATCTTTACTCAATATCCGTGGGTTCACTGCATCACGCACAAATCTTTCGCCTTTTACTAAAGATTTCCGTGCAGAGGCCCGCTATAATCGGTATATAACAATTTATCGTTGCCTCGTCTTCGGACGAGGCTATAAAAGAATAATGCAAAGAAAGATATCACATATTTCACTATGATTCTGTAGACAATTACTGAGTAATTTATGCTTTGAAGCAATTGGTACCATCAGCTACTGTATAACGTGTGCAAGGTAGCAGCTTAATTCTCAAATCTTTTATATTATATTTAGCGGACGTATTTCATGTCAGAAAAGTTCTCAAACTCTACTGAAGTTTATCTCAGCGTCCAACAGCCCATGCCGACTGGTATTTAATCCTACAGATTGCGTACGTTCGTCTGTGGTTAGTCGCTCGACATCTGCGCAACTTTTAGACCAGTTTACTTATATAATCAACTTGATGATTGTTTCTTTCCTGGGGACCTATAGTGACGACTTATTGCATTTTCATGTTATTCATGAATGAACTACAATACTTGGAATCCGGTCTGCACACATTACTTGTTTCTATGCCGGGCAGGGCTCAGGCAATTAGCATCCAGGATGTCAAGAACAACCTTTGTTTAGTAAAACAGTATGCATAACGTTGGAATCTTTTAGTAATCCGGACCGGTCTTTTGATAATAGCTTGGACGTAGGGCACAATCTTTTATCATTTAAATATTCGTAATTAGAATAAGAATGCCACGTTCTACGGGTTACGAAAATCTACTAACCATTGATTTATTAAACTTCTTATACCTACATTTTGTTATCGCGATCTTTACTCAATATCCGTGGGTTCACTGCATCACGCACAAATCTTTCGCCTTTTACTAAAGATTTCCGTGCAGAGGACCGCTATGATCGGTATATAACAATTTATCGTTGCCTCGTCTTCGGACGAGGCTATAAAAGAATAATGCAAAGAAAGATATCACATATTTCACTATGATTCTGTAGACAATTACTGAGTGATTTATGCTTTGAAGCAATTTCGACGACTTCCCAAAAAGGTATCATCAGCTACAGTACTGTTAACTTGTGCAAGGTGCAATGCAATGTTTTTTTCCCGGGGACCTATGGTGATGAGTTAATGCAATTACCTGTTATTCATTAATGAACTACATACTTTGAATCCGGTCTGCACACATTACTTGTTTCTATGTCGGGCAGGCCTCAGGCAAGCATCTCGGATTTCAAGAACCACCTTTGTTTAGTAAAACAGTATGCATAACGTTGGAATCTTATAGTAATCCGGACCGGTCTTTTGATAATAGCTTGGACGTAGGGCACAATCTTTTATCATTTAAATATTCGTAATTAGAATAAGAATGCCACGTTCTACGGGTTAAGAAAATCTACTAACCATTGATTTATTAAACTTCTTATACCTACATTTTGTTATCGCGATCTTTACTCAATATCCGTGGGTTCACTGCATCACGCACAAATCTTTCGCCTTTTACTAAAGATTTCCGTGCAGAGGACCGCTATGATCGGTATATAACAATTTATCGTTGCCTCGTCTTCGGACGAGGCTATAAAAGAATAATGCAAAGAAAGATATCACATATTTCACTATGATTCTGTAGACAATTACTGAGTAATTTATGCTTTGAAGCAATTGGTACCATCAGCTACTGTATAACGTGTGCAAGGTAGCAGCTTAATTCTCAAATCTTTCATATTATATTTAGCGGACGTATTTCATGTCAGAAAAGTTCTCAAACTCTACTGAAGTTTATCTCAGCGTCCAACAGCCCATGCCGACTGGTATTTAATCCTACAGATTGCGTACGTTCGTCTGTGGTTAGTCGCTCGACATCTGCGCAACTTTTAGACCAGTTTACTTATATAATCAACTTGATGATTGTTTCTTTCCTGGGGACCTATAGTGACGACTTATTGCATTTTCATGTTATTCATGAATGAACTACAATACTTGGAATCCGGTCTGCACACATTACTTGTTTCTATGCCGGGCAGGGCTCAGGCAATTAGCATCCAGGATGTCAAGAACAACCTTTGTTTAGTAAAACAGTATGCATAACGTTGGAATCTTTTAGTAATCCGGACCGGTCTTTTGATAATAGCTTGGACGTAGGGCACAATCTTTTATCATTTAAATATTCGTAATTAGAATAAGAATGCCACGTTCTACGGGTTACGAAAATCTACTAACCATTGATTTATTAAACTTCTTATACCTACATTTTGTTATCGCGATCTTTACTCAATATCCGTGGGTTCACTGCATCACGCACAAATCTTTCGCCTTTTACTAAAGATTTCCGTGCAGAGGACCGCTATGATCGGTATATAACAATTTATCGTTGCCTCGTCTTCGGACGAGGCTATAAAAGAATAATGCAAAGAAAGATATCACATATTTCACTATGATTCTGTAGACAATTACTGAGTGATTTATGCTTTGAAGCAATTTCGACGACTTCCCAAAAAGGTATCATCAGCTACAGTACTGTTAACTTGTGCAAGGTGCAATGCAATGTTTTTTTCCCGGGGACCTATGGTGATGAGTTAATGCAATTACCTGTTATTCATTAATGAACTACATACTTTGAATCCGGTCTGCACACATTACTTGTTTCTATGTCGGGCAGGCCTCAGGCAAGCATCTCGGATTTCAAGAACCACCTTTGTTTAGTAAAACAGTATGCATAACGTTGGAATCTTATAGTAATCCGGACCGGTCTTTTGATAATAGCTTGGACGTAGGGCACAATCTTTTATCATTTAAATATTCGTAATTAGAATAAGAATGCCACGTTCTACGGGTTAAGAAAATCTACTAACCATTGATTTATTAAACTTCTTATACCTACATTTTGTTATCGCGATCTTTACTCAATATCCGTGGGTTCACTGCATCACGCACAAATCTTTCGCCTTTTACTAAAGATTTCCGTGCAGAGGACCGCTATGATCGGTATATAACAATTTATCGTTGCCTCGTCTTCGGACGAGGCTATAAAAGAATAATGCAAAGAAAGATATCACATATTTCACTATGATTCTGTAGACAATTACTGAGTAATTTATGCTTTGAAGCAATTGGTACCATCAGCTACTGTATTACGTGTGCAAGGTAGCAGCTTAATTCTCAAATCTTTCATATTATATTTAGCGGACGTATTTCATGTCAGAAAAGTTCTCAAACTCTACTGAAGTTTATCTCAGCGTCCAACAGCCCATGCCGACTGGTATTTAATCCTACAGATTGCGTACGTTCGTCTGTGGTTAGTCGCTCGACATCTGCGCAACTTTTAGACCAGTTTACTTATATAATCAACTTGATGATTGTTTCTTTCCTGGGGACCTATAGTGACGACTTATTGCATTTTCATGTTATTCATGAATGAACTACAATACTCTGAATCCGGTCTGCACACATTACTTGTTTCTATGCCGGGCAGGGCTCAGGCAATTAGCATCCAGGATGTCAAGAACAACCTTTGTTTAGTAAAACAGTATGCATAACGTTGGAATCTTTTAGTAATCCGGACCGGTCTTTTGATAATAGCTTGGACGTAGGGCACAATCTTTTATCATTTAAATATTCGTAATTAGAATAAGAATGCCACGTTCTACGGGTTACGAAAATCTACTAACCATTGATTTATTAAACTTCTTATACCTACATTTTGTTATCGCGATCTTTACTCAATATCCGTGGGTTCACTGCATCACGCACAAAACCTTTCGCCTTTTACTAAAGATATCCGTGCAGAGGACCGCTATGATCGGTATATAACAATTTATCGTTGCCTCGTCTTCGGACGAGGCTATAAAAGAATAATGTAAAGAAAGATATCACATATTTCACTATGATTCTGTAGACAATTACTGAGTGATTTATGCTTTGAAGCAATTTCGACGACTTCCCGAAAAGGTATCATCAGCTACAGTACTGTTAACTTGTGCAAGGTGCAATGCAATGTTTTTTTCCTGGGGACCTATGGTGACAAGTTAATGCAATTACCTGTTATTCATTAATGAACTACATACTTTGAATCCGGTCTGCACACATTACTTGTTTCTATGTCGGGCAGGCCTCAGGCAAGCATCCCGGATTTCAAGAACCACCTTTGTTTAGTAAAACAGTATGCATAACGTTGGAATCTTTTAGTAATCCGGACCGGTCTTTTGATAATAGCTTGGACGTAGGGCACAATCTTTTATCATTTAAATATTCGTAATTAGAATAAGAATGCCACCTTCTACGGGTTACGAAAATCTACTAACCATTGATTTATTAAACTTCTAATACCTACATTTTGTTATCGCGATCTTTACTCAATATCCGTGGGTTCACTGCATCACGCACAAATCTTTCGCCTTTTACTAAAGATTTCCGTGCAGAGGACCGCTATGATCGGTATATAACAATTTATCGTTGCCTCGTCTTCGGACGAGGCTATAAAAGAATAATGCAAAGAAAGATATCACATATTTCACTATGATTCTGTAGACAATTACTGAGTAATTTATGCTTTGAAGCAATTGGTACCATCAGCTACTGTATAACGTGTGCAAGGTAGCAGCTTAATTCTCAAATCTTTCATATTATATTTAGCGGACGTATTTCATGTCAGAAAAGTTCTCAAACTCTTCTGAAGTTTATCTCAGCGTCCAACAGCCCATGCCGACTGGTATTTAATCCTACAGATTGCGTACGTTCGTATGTAGTTAGTTGCTCGACATCTGCGCAACTTTTAGACCAGTTTACTTATATAATCAACTTGATGATTGTTTCTTTCCTGGGGACCTATAGTGACGACTTATTGCATTTTCATGTTATTCATGAATGAACTACAATACTTGGAATCCGGTCTGCACACATTACTTGTTTCTATGCCGGGCAGGGCTCAGGCAATTAGCATCCAGGATGTCAAGAACAACCTTTGTTTAGTAAAACAGTATGCATAACGTTGGAATATTTTAGTAATCCGGACCGGTCTTTTGATAATAGCTTGGACGTAGGGCACAATCTTTTATCATTTAAATATTTGTAATTTGAATAAGAATGCCACTTTCTACGGGTTACGAAAATCTACTAACCATTGATTTATTAAACTTCTTATACCTACATTTTGTTATCGCGATCTTTACTCAATATCCGTGGGTTCACTGCATCACGCACAAATCTTTCGCCTTTTACTAAAGATTTCCGTGCAGAGGACCGCTATGATCGGTATATAACAATTTATCATTGCCTTGTCTTCGGACGAGGCCATCAAAGAATAATGCAAAGAAAGATATCACATATTTCACTATGATACTGTAGACAATTACTGAGTGATTTATGCTTTGAAGCAATTTCGACGACTTCCCAAAAGGTATCATCAGCTACAGTACTGTTAACTTGTGCAAGGTGCAATGCAATGTTTTTTTCCTGGGGACCTATGGTGACGAGTTAATGCAATTACCTGTTATTCATTAATGAACTACATACTTTGAATCCGGTCTGCACACATTACTTGTTTCTATGTCGGGCAGGCCTCAGGCAAGCATCCCGGATTTCAAGAACCACCTTTGTTTAGTAAAACAGTATGCATAACGTTGGAATCTTTTAGTAATCCGGACCGGTCTTTTGATAATAGCTTGGACGTAGGGCACAATCTTTTATCATAATATTCGTAATTAGAATAAGAATGCCACGTTCTACGGGTTAAGAAAATCTACTAACCATTGATTTACTAAACTTATTATACCTACATTTTGTTATCGCGATCTTTATTCAATATCCGTGGGTTCACTGCATCACGCACAAATCTTTCGCCTTTTACTAAAGATTTCCGTGTAGAGGACCGCTATGATCGGTAAATAACAATTTATCGTTGCCTCGTCTTCGGACGAGGCTATAAAAGAATAATGCAAAGAAAGATATCACATATTTCACTATGATACTGTGGACAATTACTGAGTGATTTATGCTTTGAAGCAATTTCGACGACTTCCCAAAAGGTATCATTAGCTACAGTACTGTATAACCGTATGCAAGGTGCAATGCAATGTTTCTTTCCTGGGGACTTATGCTGACGAGTTATTGCATTTACCTGTTATTCATGAATGAACTACATTCTCTGAATCCGATCTGCACACATTAATTGTTGCTATGTCTGGAAAGCTAAATTCTCAAATTTTTCAATTGATATCTTGCGGACGTTTTTCACGTCAGAAAAGATCAAAGCCATGTCTGAAGTTTATATCAGCGGGTAGCAGCCCATGCCGACTGGTATTTAATCCTACAGATTTCGTATGTTCGTCTGTGGTCAGTTGCTGATCAATAATCAAATATATATTTTTAAGGGATGCAGAAATCTAAGGGGTTCTTTGCTCTAGACCTGCTTCTTACGAATTCTGTGTTCAATATAAGCAGACATAAATAAACGTCTAGATCAGCACATCGCAAACTGCATGTAGAGCAAGGGAACATGGACATTGAAATTGAAATCCTGACATTTTGAATAATTTCGGTTTTTATTCATCTAAATCTTTCTACAGAAGGACATCGGCTTCCTGGCCGAGCTGAGGCACAGCTACCCTCGTATGTGTGGCTGGTTGTACAGACTAGGACTAGGCAAGAAAAGATGTCTTATATGCGTTGAGGAGGAAAGCAAGGGTGCCAGGCATTGCAAGAACAGAAGATGTACATTTATGTATTGTCGACAGTGTTATGCAGATGTTCAGGTATACTGTCTGTACGAAAATGGACTGGGACTTTGAATTCTTAACTCATTTTCCTCTTGTTCTTCATAATACGTACATAAATATTAATAAGACTTTAAAACCTTTCATTGATAATTCTAGGAAATATAAATATAAAATACGGTCAGATAATTGGAGATAATAACTTTCTTCTTCTTCTTCCTCTTCTCCTTCTCCTTGTTCTTCTTCTTCTTCTTCTCCTTCTTCTTCTTCTTCTCCTTCTCCTTCTTCTTCTTCTTCTTCTTCTTCTTCTTCTTCTTCTTCTTCTTCTTCTTCGTCTTCTTCTTCATCATTATCATGTAAAAACTCGTTTCTCAATTTGTTATTCTTTCCATCAAAAGTTTGCTACCATTTACCACACATCACATCATCTTTTTTCATCTGCTTCTTCTTCTTTCTGCTTCCACATTTTCTCTTTTCACTTTTTTGTGTGGATCCATTTCTTCCAGTCCACTTTTAATACATTTTCGTAAGCAGCTTGTACCATATTTTAATTGGACCTTAAGGCCTTCCCTCTTCATTCAGGGGAGTATAAATCATATAAGGGATAACTTTCTTTAGGGTTGAATCTACTCAAAATGCTAGTGGATTCCACTGGAAAGTAGTGGGATCACCTCTTTCGAGAGTGGATTCCACTATATTTGAGAGTGGATTTCCACTCCAACCAAGGGATCTGTAATTTGACTCTCAATTAGGAGAGTGCACTTGACTTATTTCCGTACATTTTGAGGTTTTTACATTTTACAATTAATCTGACAATTCTTTTCTCCTGCAGGGTGTATGCTACGCCTGCGAGCCGCTGCCCGAAGACTCCGACGATGAATCTAATTCTGAATGGGACACGTGAAATGTATTGAAACCTGCATATAAAGACTGCTCGAGGCAGACAAGAAAATGGTCTTTATAGGCAGGTTGTCTTTATTTACAGGTTCCTTTAGAACATGTTTCAATGAGAAGCCATTGTCAAGGGAAACGTAAAATGTGGTCATTATTATAGACAGGTGGTCTTTCTATGCAGGTAGTCGCTAAAGCAGGTTTGACTGTATTTTAAATGTCAACGTCACAGTGGACACAGTCATCAATCATCAAATACATGTATACTCTAAAAGATTGTACTTGCATATTTCTGTTATTTTGATAGCTGGAAGCTAAGGATTTTGAAATTTTTAGGTTCTAAGTTGATGGCATAATTTGTATTTAATTTGTCAATATACAGTTGTACCATTTAGTGCCCAGTTGGTTGGTATAACATTTATACCATTTAGTGTCCTCTATAAGCGTTAAAACAACTTACAGGTTACTAAATTGGTTCAAACGTTATTACGACCTACAGAGCACTAAATGGTATAAGCGTTATACCAATCTAGAGGGCACTAAATGGTATAAGCGTTATACCAATCTACAGGGCACTAAATGGTATAATCGTTTTACCAATCTACAGAGCACTAAATGGTATAAGCGATATACCAATCTACAGGGCACTGAGTGGTATAAGCGTTATACCAATCTACAGGGCGCTAAATGGTATAAGCGTTATACCACTTACTGCCCTGTAGGTTGGTATAAGCGTTATACCACTTACTGCCCTGTAGGTTGGTATAACGCTTATACCATTTAGTGCCCTGTAGGTTGGTATAACGCTTATACCATTTAGTGCCCTGTAGATTGGTATAACGCTTATACCATTTAGTGCTCTGTAGATTGGTATAACGCTTATACCATTTAGTGCTCTCTAGATTGGTATAACGCTTATACCATTTAGTGCTCTCTAGATTGGTATAACGCTTATACCATTTAGTGCCCTGTAGATTGGTATAACGCATATACCATTTAGTGCCCTGTAGGTTGGTATAACGCTTATACCATTTAGTGCCCTGTAAATTGGTATAACGCTTATACCATTTAGTGCCCTGCAGATTGGTATAACGCTTATACCATTTAGTGCTCAGTTGATAGATGTAACATTTATCTCAACCAATTAATGTTGCTATAGTAATAAAAGTCATAAGTCTTGTAATTATCTTTTTTTGTTTGTATTTCTGAAATTATCGTGCCCTTTGCTTTACTATGCTTATTTTTCAATACTGAATGTCTTGCTTTACAATAAAAATAAAATTACCAAAACAAAATGATTGAAGGCCTGTTTTATTATTTGTTGCCATTGTAACACATTAACAATTCATGTGTAATTTATAAATTTGATAATTTTGCAATTCATGAAATATTTTAATATTAGGCAGAACCCTCACTTAAAGGGTAATGATAAATGATAATTAATTCTGGCTACTGGTATCTTTCATATACCCTTAAAGAAAAGTAAAAGAGAAATCCAGAACCTGAAAACTAAACAATTTCGGTGTAAATCTGGATTTCTGCTGTCCAGATTGAAATAATTTGTTGTTAGGAGTAGAAATCCACTCATTGACGATTCATACAAGGAGGGGTCAATACGCTGTCCAGACAACGTGATCGTAAACACCTTCAAACATTAAACCTAAGGTACTTTCAGTCCATCACCTATTGCATGTGCAGACATTACACTGACGTATTATGACGTAATCCGAATATGATTTGAGTTGATTTCTTGAAAGTCTTTGCGATTGTGTTACACTGAAAAATAGTCCCACCCACTCCCAAAAGGATTTAACAGTACTTTGGAGTTGATTTCACTTTAATTTGAGATGGATTTAATTATAAAATGAAGTGATGCCTCATATGATTCCTACAGGAACGTATTTCAAGTTTTCTGTCGAAGTAGAGGAGTAGAGCAATGTGGATAAAGTGATTTTCTCTACTTTTTTTTTAAATCTTAAAACTTTATTTTAAGTCATAATGAAGTGAGCGATATGAGATATTCATTAGGCCGGTTGGCTTTGAGCCACTTGATTCATTTTGTTTCTCATGTAAACCCATTTGGATACAAGAAATAGACTTTGGAATAAATTTTAGTGTATGATTCAATAAGGTTTATCTCCCTCTCTGTTGTTTGTACCATGTGCTTCGATTTCTATGATACAAAATTGATTTCCAATATTTCCCTCATCTTTATCTCTTTGCACTTATGCATTCTGTCTCTCTCTCTTTCTGTCTCTCTGTCTCTCTCTGTCTCTCTCTCTCTCCCAACAGCACTCCACCACATCACTTTTCTCATCATTATATGATCTTGTTACTCAATCCTTTTCATCCCTTTCATAACATTTTGTTTCTATCCCTCATATTGTTCTTTTATTGTCTTCTTTTGATTCACTATTCCATAAACGCAAATGAAAATAACAAATAACCATTCATTACGTTTACAGAATACATGTATCCTGGAATAAATATAGTTTATTCTCTCAGTTAAATAATATTAATAATAATAATAATATATTTCTATCTGATATTAACATAAACATCTACATTATAGAATATTACTTAATGATTATAATCTTTATAATGAAAAATATAACAGCAAATATACAGGGTGGTTCATATGTACTCCATATGTCCTATAATACTTTATAATAATCTCCTTGCTGACTTCAAACATTCCTATCAAATTTCAGAACCGAGGTACTATATATCACACCAATCATTAGTTTGACCGTTTATTTTTTAGACCTTGAATATATATTATTTGAGAAAATAGATATCAATTACAAAATAAAATTCTACTGGCTAAAAAAATTGATAACAATTTTGGTTTTCCCTTTGGGTTGAATAACATCACACACTTAAAAAAAAAAGGACTCCTCAAACTATAACCAAAACTAAAACCTCACAAACCAAAAAAGTATGTCATAACAACATTGATAAGAAAACTTTCAATAAAATAAAACTTAAATATAATATTTCAAAAATTATTAAAAGGCAAATCAATATTTATTGCATTAATTTCCAATTGGAGTGGACTTAAAAGGTGTTTATATTGGGTGAAAGTACTTTGTTGAAATAAATTCTCTTATGTTGTTGGAACTCCTATCCTGCTCAACTTCTAGGGCAATTCCACTCCTTACCCCATAGAAATTATATTCAAATTACACAATACGTTGTCGTCATGTTTGCATATTTCAATAGCAATGACAAAGCTATTGACATGGCCTTACGTATAGGTCGACTATTTAAAACTCTTTGCAAACATGTTATAGTCGAATACTTCACTTAAAAACAGAACAATAGACAGCTATCGCGCCAGTCATTGGAGGTTCTTCCATTACCAAGTGATACACTGAATGATGTTGCATTCAAATGTTTTAATCTTGTTTCACACACAGAAAAAGTAGGTAAAATGCCCATTTAAAAGTTTTGAGAGAAAAAAAAGAACTGTGTCACTACATGCTTATAGTAAAGCTTAGTGGCCAAGATTAATCTAAATGTTAAGTCACTCAGACACCTAAGAATAGTTGGGCAGAGAAAGCACTCCTTAAGTGATTCATGCTCTTTACAATCACTAAAGACTACATAATCCATAGCCTGAACTCATGAAAATAATAAGTAACTTCTGTCTACATCTCTATAAAACAATATGATTTTATAGCAATGAGCAAGACTTATTGCAAGACAGAGTCATTTATTTTTATTTTTTATATTAATAGTCAAATGTGTTGTCAATTAATTTTAATGAAAACAAAAAATACCCAAATGAATTTGATATGTAGCACATTCTGTTTTGAGAAGAAGAAGAACATCGGATAAGTGATCCATCTATCCACAAAGAACCCTCGACCTTTCAAGATCTATGGTCTTGCTTACGACATTGCTAAAAAAAAAGATCTCTGCATCTTTCAACAGCATACTAATATCGGAGACGATCGTTTAATAGTTTGAGAAATGGCGCACATATTTTCAGTCATGGACAACAGTAGAACCATGTAGTGAATCATACACAGATACCATTCTCTTCAAAGCTCATCAATTTATGATCATATTTACACAAATTTCTCTAGCATGAAACATTGTACAAATATGCCATCCTTACTTCTCTCAAAATTCTGTACCATTCACGGTATGCATGCAAATATTACATGTGTACGATATCATATGGTGGTTCATAATCATATGACAAAGAAAAAAAAGAATTTTCAATGGAATAACATGTATATCATGCATGGATGAATTGAAAAATTATTGAATGAGAATGTATTACATACAATCTAAATTTGTGAAATTTGTGATGCAATTGAAAGAAATAAATATAAATGCCTTCTTGTATCTCTCCCCCCAATTAAAGTGAAAACACCAAAGCCCACACCCCACTATACTATTCTTCCTAAGTCGGATCATAGTCAGATCGTTTAGTGTGCAGTGGGCTTAACATGAATTCATTTTATATCCACTCAGAAAACATTGTCTTGTGAACTATTCCTATTACATGAAATGAAACTAAAACTAATAGTAGATTTATCAGAATGAGCTGCATTTGAAGTGTTCTTGAAATTCATACATATATCTTTGTTAATCTATGAGCAAAAAATAAATAAAATATATATATTTTTAAAAATAAGCATTTCATTAGCTGTATATTATTCATATCCTATTGAAAATATATTGAACTATATATGCCATAAAAAAGTAATTAAAAGCAATAAACTAAAATAATCAACTAAACTCTTGTATAAAAATAGGGTTACCGGTAGTTAGTAAATTTTAATCACTACATGAACATAACTAAATAAAAATATCCAAGCAAAACCTTTACCAAATCTTTTTAAAAACAATTTCAATAAAGTTCCCCAAATTTGAACTCAAATTATGACATCAAGTAAATTGCACATTTCACAAATTTTATTTTAGTCTAGAGAGAAAAAGAGAAAGAGAGAGAGAACAAACATAGTAAACCTATAATTAGTATACATTCAATTTTTACTTAAACAGATATAAAGGAAATGCCCAGAAACATGCTATTTTTAAAGAGTTAACAAAACAAGAGTCCTTCCTCAATCAGGTAAAAAAAAGAGAAAATATACTGCTGAAAGTTAGAATATGTCTAAAGGGGAAAATAAAAATTGAAAATAGTAAAATTAATACGATATCCCGCACCTTACGAACATGTGTAATGTATATATTATTCTTTTGCAAGATCTATAATTTTGTTCCTTGATTGATGATCATAAATATCAATAAATATTGAGAAAAATAAACAAGCATGGCAATAATAGACCTCATGCCAAATGTGATGGATGTATATGTATTAGCAAATCCCACGCTGTGTTCCTTGATATTTAAACTCTGTTTGAAATGTTATCTTAAACTCATCAACTTAAAGAGAAAATCACTGAAATAACAGTGAAGTTCTTTCTTTAAAGAAAAAAGAAAAATAGATGCAACTTATTAATTCTCAATTAACCAAAAAACAGTGAAGTCTCTCTAACTGAAAGTACAGTGGGTGGACAGTGAAAGCTTAATTGCATTTTTTTAAATTTCTAGTTAATAAAAAATCATGTGGCAGCAAATAAAAGCATATCTGGTGATTTTCAGCTGAATGAAAGAATGCATCGATTCTTTTGGAAAAAGGTTCGATATCTATTAAAAAGATTCTATGGTGATAAAATAAGTTGTCAGATGTTTGAAATTTTTGCTATAAGATTTACAAGTAAATGGTATGGCCAATATGTAATTGGTAATGAAATTAACCAATGACATAGACAAACAGCTTTGTTAGGATGGCATAATACTTATAACCCTGTTGTAACAGTAACTGCACCTTTGCTTTGTATGTTTAGTTCTCAGACTCTAAATTTAGCATCTTTGGTAAAAATGTATTTGAGCTTTTGAGCACTATTTCTGTTCCACAAAATGGTATAACAATATAATATTGATAGTGCCCTTGAACTGAAGGGGGGGGGGGTGGTTTAACTTTAAGATCAGATTCTGCTTGTGTAGTGACTCGAGAAGAAGACAAAGCTAAGCACATTAACAAATAATTTGCAAACTTGCATTTGGGGATTTCTACCAAACAAACACCTGCTAAATAATAATGAGTCCTTGAAGGACTATGACTTCTCAATTAAAAATAAAACATATCCTCATACACGTGTAGAGGAGACTCACACTGCCGACTCCATTGGTTCCACCTATCTAGTTGTCTCTAAAGACTTGATAAAGAATGGGGAGGGGTCATTTCTTTGGTGAGAATCTTGGGTTGGTGGGGACTTCGGTGAAGGAACGCAACTCAAAAGTGCCAAAGCTGGACTCTAGATCTGGGGTGTGCCTGGCGAAGATCATACGGATGTCTGTATGGAGGTACACTTTGCCCGACTTGGATGTCAGAAATCTGTGAGGAAAAGAAGAAATTTAATTTGTTGGTGACGTGTGCAAAAGGGTAACATCGGGAATATCATGGTAAGATATGATGTTTATCATCTCAAGTTGTTAACAAGAGTTATTCCACTGCACGCAGGAGGCAATTATGCCTCCGCCATGGACTGATCCTTCTGATGACCACCTGCACCATAGGGGGCACGAGGAGCAAAGGGGGCCCACCTCCCCCAAACCACCCAAATCAAATATGATACACATTAACTACACAACAGGAAACTAATGTGCACAAATTTATGCACATGTGCCCCCTCCCCCTACCAGAATCGACAACCCTTTATTTTTCAGCTTGCTAGCATTTCTGAACACATGTGCCTCCCCTCCCCCTCCCCAGCCCCCCCCCCCCCCCCACCTCTGTGAGATAACCCTAGATCTGCCCCTGACCCTAAGTAACCAACAAAGCCCCACCCACCTGATATGCATGAGGTAGCGAAGGTCCTTGTCGCAGTCATCGTTGATATCTACGTCGCTGGGCATGTAGAAAATTCTTTGGCGAGCAAAGGTCTGGCAGTTGGGTGGCATGTCGCTCAGATCGTAACGAACCACAAACATCTTCACCACAGTCTTGTTTGGATTGAACAGAGTCTAGGAAAAATTCAGATTAAACAATTTTAATATAAAAAGGTCCCATGTCATTTAAGGCTGTAGGTCTATCTTACCAGATCATGAATCAGAATGAATTGGTACAGTGGAGGCATAAATAGCAGCCATCATAAATCAACATGTTTGCAACTCATGCATTAAAATTTCTAATGGCCTGAGCACATTTTCAAGTTGGATTGAAAATCAGCTTCGAGAGCAGTCTCCAACTGTTGAGATGGTAAAGGTGAAAACTCTGGATTCGTACCTCAATGTCATAAAATATCAAATGCAAGCTACAACCTCCAAAAGATATTCGATTTTTTTCAGTTTCATTAGCAACATAAAAAACAGTTTCCAGATTTGCCCTGATGAAGGATAGCCAGAAACACTGCAGATTCTTCCATACGACTCAGGAGAGAGAGAGAGAGAGAATGACATGTAATCGTTTCTTACCACTTGTATTGTGCCGCTATTAGGCACTTGATATCCCCTCTTGCTTAGACCCTCAAGGTTGATGTGACCCTACAACAGCAACAACAGAGAAGGCAGATGGTTATTAAAAGCTTACATATCGTCTGCTGAGTGTCAGAATGTCATTGACTCCACTTGTGTACTTATACTCAGAGTTAATGCCCTTCTGGCTCTCAATAGAGGATATATGTTGAAGAGTAAAGAGGAAGAGGATTAAAAAAAAAACATCTTCATGACTACAGCGAGCAATGTTGCATGAAATTTGTAATTCAATATACTGAAGCGGAACATTTCAAGCATTATTAAACACCAGCTTAATTCAAAAGTTTGATTCGGGTTGACTAATGGTTGTGATGTATGATTTGATTGTAAACTGTGATCAATGGTAACATGACTCAGAACTTTTGTTTGAATATGGACCTTGATTCAAAATCTTTGACAAGAATTCCTTCATGACTCCAATAGATAACAAAAGGTAGTCCATACAATGAATTATGTAGATTCCAAGTGAGTCAATCATTTTTGCATTCTATTACAATACATTTCTATGATTTTCTTCCAAACCGTCATCAAAATTATATTTTTCACCATCACCATAAACGATTCCATGACATTTGCTCCGGCGACAATTGCTCCGCTGTAAATTTCATACACTAATCGAATGGCTAACTTCAACCCTGGATTCAACACTATACCCTACCCTAAACCTAACCCTAAACCTAACATAAAACCCTATTGAAACCCTAACCCTAACCCTACATCTTAGACGAAATAAAGCCCGGAGCAATTGTCGCAGGAGCAAATGTCGTGTCACCCCATAAACACATCCTTCCATTTAGGAACCAATGTATTATGGAACGTGTTTCAGTACTTACAAAGTATGAAGAAGGGGCATCATCATCACACACACTATAGAAGAAAGTTGTTACAGGTAGACATATGTGTTTTGGACAGAAGGCACCGCTAGCACCAATCTCTGCAGTGAAGCCATCTATAGTACCCAACGGCTCCAACCTGCCGTTTAGTACAGACTCCTGTAGAGGGGAAAGCGGATAAAGAATTATATACATACAAACTGAAAAGTAATTGGAAATAGAGAGATGGAACCCTCAAGTTGCTTTAACATTTTGGTTGCTTTCTTCGCATTTATGCACGGTTGCTCGTCTGACGGTGCAATTATGCACAAAACAATAAGTAGTATTCTAATAGAGTGTGTGTGTGTATGGGGATGTGTAGTGGTTACCTGCACATAGTTATACCAGGAGAGACCCAATTAGCTGTACAGTTTCATTACCCCTTCAAATGAAATTGGCTGATTTGAATGCCAAACAATAAAAGTGTCACAAGCATTGAGAGTCAGAGAGTAATACAGGATGAGGAGAATGATCAAGATAAATCTGTCACAGAGGGCCTTTTATCTGGTTGTACAGCGCATGTTCTTGAGACAAATGCTCTGTGGGTAACTTCCTACATGATCTGAATTCCTGGCTTCAACCCTAGATTCGACACTATATATAACCATAACTCTCAACACAAATCTAGCCAAAAACCCCACAGCAACCCCCTTGACGAACTAAAGCCTGGGGGCAACTGTCTTCGGGGCACAGTTTGGAGCACCTTCGTACCTCAAAGTTTCCTAGAAGGCAGCTAGTAGCAGGAGCACTCGTACTGAGCATTCGCATTGGATGACCTAGGAGCAAAGAGCTGGGTTTCTCCAGATTATTGCACGATGGAGAGCTGAAATAAAACAAAGCAAACCATGTTAAGTTTGAGGGGTGGATCTAGGATTTTGCAAAAGAGGGGCACAATATTTATTTTTTAAAAAGTCATGAGAATTCTTTGGTGCTTCATTAATAAAAGATATCTGTCTAGTGTTAGTTTGGTAGAAAGTAATTTGATTAAGTGGTTGACATTGTATGTATCACATAAGACACCAGAAAAAGACACTTGATACACATTAAAAGTAATTATGTTTCACCAGAACATTTCCCCACAATTGCTAAGGTTCCATAAAGATATGGAATTTTGTAGTAGTCACAGTACTGATGCATAAGTTTAGAAAAGGATTATACACTAACCTGGTTAGACCTATTGGTTTAAGTAGTGAAGGGCAGTCGTTTGTTGTCTTGGCTTTTCTTAGTGGTGCCTGAAATAAACAAAAAAGTAAACACAAGAAGTATTAGATCAAGATTTTTCTTTTGTAAACAAAACCAACAACAGACAATTAAGCATATAAACAAACAAAATGGATGCTAAAAGAGAACAGAGGTTAAAAACTTGTTCATTCCTTCTTTTTTTAGGTCTGTTCGTATTATATGCCCCTATATGTGCATGCATTACTTTGCAAGGGTTTTGTCAATGTTCCATATGAGACTATAGTCAAAGAGCTGGATGTATATCATAGACATTAATCATATACAGAAACATAAACATAAAAAAGGAGGAATCGCCTCTGAATGAAGCTATGTATTTGCAAAGTATGGACCTAGAATTGATAATTGGATTTCCTTTACTTACTGGACTGGAATTGATAGGGAGACCAGTTCTTGGATGGAACACATAGGAGCTGGAATCGTCTAAAGATCTTCTCATACTGGCCTTAGCACTGGATTCCTTGGGAACAGCTCGGCCTATCTCGGTTTGAGCCTAAACAGAGGTGAAGAAAATGTATGGAAAAAAACATTAGTACACTGTACACCTAACTCTGTGGTTGTAAGAACAATATGATTCACTTTTATAAACGTTGTTTTCAGGCATTCTATATTATATCATTAGCAATCAATGACTGATTGCTTGAGACAGTTTAGGTAACTGAAGAGGTGATTCTTTGAAGAAGACGAGAGAGTTGACAATTTAAAAAGTGCAGGTATCCATTATTATTACCCGCATCAGACATCTGAGCTGGTCATTTACAAAACCGTATTGCCCTAGTTTTCACTAGCAGTGGGAACGGAGGGGTATATTCTTTGTATTTTCCTTGGTCTCCCTGCCCGTATTGACTTTGCGTGTAGAGACGAGTGAAAATATAGTCTTGTATTGACCGCGCCGTATTTTGTCATTTTCATTACGCATCTATTAAACCTGCGCACTCTATTGTGACGTAATAATCACACCAAAGACACACTGTTTGCAGTGTATCAAATGTTTCGTCAAGCACTTAATATGGATGCACAGTGCTGGTTTGACTAAGTTGTTTCAGTTCTTTGAGATTGTCATGCTTGATTTATGTATTTTATCTAGATGTCTGATTTGGATAACAATAACAATATTAACTGGCTTAACTTTTGGTAGATACCACATATATTGCCCTCACAAGACCCATATTGCCCTCGTCTTCGACTCGGAACAATATGGGTCTAGTTTGGGCAATATAATTATCTCCCTCAAGGCCAGTCAATATTATATAAATATTGCACGTTGCTAGTAAAATCATCATAAATAGTTCTTTCCTGGGGCCCCGTCTTACAAAGAGTTGATATCAATCACAACTATGTACATAAGAGATAGAAGACTACAACCTTGCGATTGATTGGAGGACTTGCGATTGATTTGGATCAATGGTAATTCTTTGTAAGACGGGGCACTGAACTGATAAATAAGCCTATTTTTAAGGATTATAAAACAATTAAAAAAAAGGATAAAACAAACCTCTTCAACTTGGTGAGATTTGCTGAGTACATTCCTGAGTAGAGACTTGCCCTTGCCTGGTGGGGGAAACTGAAAGGCGCTCTCAGAGTTCTCCTTCTCATCCTTCAATTGAGGCACAGCCCCGTTACTGCTGAACGGAGCGGGTATATCTGGCTTGAAATCCTCGCCCCACCCTGCGCCACACCCTCTTGGTTTCATGCCCCTCCTGGGTGAGGCTATGGGTGATGAGGAAGGGGAAGACTTGATGGAGCTGGAGTCCTGGAGGGCTTTGTTCTTCTTAAAGATGGCGGCATTGAAGCACTGACTTTCGCTGCCGTCGCTCTGTATTGCACTTTGGTTTGTCAGGGTCTCGCAGCTGGCACTCTTGCCCGACTCTAGACCGTCCTGTGAATTCCCGCTCACGTGTCGCCTCCGTGCCGCGCACTCTTCTGCTGACACTCTGGCACCATCGCTGGGTATAAAGCACAGAGCAGCGTTGGGCTGGTGACATACATCATGGCCGAGGTTGACCAGTGAGTTCGACGACCCATGTAGTTGTGAATATGTACATGAATCTAGGCTAGTATTCGACGACGTCAAATGTATACATCTCTCTAGAGGAGAGTGATGATGAAGTCTTGAATCAAAACTACAGAAGTCTTGGTCTTGTGTCTTTGCATATTCATACACATCGCTCAATCCCTCCGATTCACACTTCAGACTATCCTCTTCACAGACACTATGATCATCTGAATATTGCTTCTCCCTTTTAGATTGGAGGATTTCATTCTCCTCCCACTCTGAAGTAAAGACACCAGAGACGTCGGACAAAGTCCCGGCAGTGAAGAGGATTCCTTGATCACTATCCGTTGAACATATAGAAGTGCTTCGTGATTCAGTGCTATCTATTTCTGGAGTGTAATACACATTGCAAGGTGTAGCTGGTATATGATGTAATTTCAGTGATGACAAGCCTTCCTCTAGTTCTACCAGTTTCTCATGGTATTTCATATCCTCTGTATCCTTCACATTTTCACACACTATATCATGAATTCTGTCAATTGTATTCAGATTCTGAACATCCAACAACGACGTGAGAGGAGTGAAGATATCTTCTATGCTCTCTTGCACCTTCTCAGCCTCACCTGGTGGTTGGCTGTACTCGGTCCTGTAAGCGCTAGGAAAAGTCCTGATCAATTTGGGACTGTCTCTCAACTTATTGCTGTTCCTCATTTGCGCTTTCTTCTGCTGTATTGCTTCAAACCCCCACTCCTGCTCCAGCGATCCTCTCCTCGAACCGCTCTCACCGACACCGGGAAATTGTCTGTGCATGCTAGGCTTTTCACTCTCACCCTGAAACTCTCGGCTATGTCTTCTATGCCTATCGCATGGCTCGGTATTCTCCCGCACACCGCACGTGGGATCATGTCTGCCCCGCGTGTGATAACTAGGATCTGTGCGACAAAATTGCTTTTGACTGCCATATTCCTCACAACTCCTCTGTCTGTGACTTGTCTCACATTCATTAAAAGTCTTTGTCTTCCTGTTGTTCCTTTTGTTGTGGATCAGATTAAAGCAGGCAGGTTGAGGGATGGCATGTTGCCGTGGTAACGACGCCACGCTCACTTGGAGACTGCTTGACTTTGAGATGTTTAGGAAAGGGAAGGTGTGAAGCTCGGGCTGAACCTTGGTGTTCTCAGCAAATGACTCCCCATGTGCACAAACTCTGTGATGAAAAAAAAAATTGCAAAGATGGTTGTGAGCAATAGCTTTCATCTGTAATATATACCTTGACAACAAAAAGTAAGAACCTTTGAGTGACAGGTTTTACCATACTTGTTTTCCCCAAAAGACTGTAGTGTTATGAAAACTGTTAGGAAAACACAAAATTTGTTTTCGATTTTCAATCATATCTTGATAATCAGACAGGCAATTGGATTGTAAAAGTCATTGGGTTCCTGACTGACCTAGGGTGTGTTTATGCTTCACTTTTGAAGGCAGAATGAGCGATTTGTAACGCTCATCGTTAACGCTCATCGTAATCGCAGTTCCAAGGTGTACTGTTTATGCTAACTTCTCTGGCTCCTACAGGCAATTCTCCTTGTGTGGCCTTAATTGGTCTTCCAGCTGGATTCGCAAACCTTCACTGTGCATGCTACGTAGACCCACTAGAGGTCAGTGCGTTGACCCCATTTAAACGCGTTTACAAATTGTAAACGCATCTTTTTGTGAGTTTACGATCAGCGATCGTGATCGCCGTTTTTCGGTGATTCTACAAAAGTGAGCATGGACGCAACCGTGTTTTAAACTAAACGCGTAACTGCCTGATTCTGGCCAGAAAAAGTGAAGCATAAACACGCCCCTAAAGGTTTATAATTATCATTGCAGCATGAGCTAAATCCAGGATTTTGTTTCAGAATGGGAGACAAAGTTACTCAATCCCTTTAAAGTAAGTGTGTCTCATCAGTGATTAATGACACTATTAACCACAATTAATTCACCCTCATCTATGCGTTGGAAAACTTAGGTGGCAATTACAGTTCATCATGTAAAGCAATCGCAAAATTCCTTTGAATTCATTTATTGGAGAGTATTATTAGTCTGTAAGCTAACCACAATTGAAGAGCTGACTATTTTATTACATGTCAACCACACATTTAATCAGGCATGAGCAGATTTTTTGTGATACTACTTCCCATGACTAATACACTCTTAACATAGATCGTCACATGTTATAGGGATAGGTCTGACACAATTCAAAGAGTCACGTTTCCCAAGTTCACAAAAGGTCAATTTCAGAAATTTGCTCTTGCACCGAATGAAATCACAAAATTTACAACTTTATTTACTGATTAACATCTTTGTTGTTGTGGTTTAAGGATGTATCTTTGTGATTTTTATCTTCATTTGTGAAGGGGAGAGAGGATGGAGGGGGGAGGGGGAGGGGGGAGGGGGAGGGGGGAGGGGGAGAGAGAGGGGGAGGGGGAGAGGGGGGAGGGGGAGGGGGAGGGGAGAGGGGGAGGGGAGAGGGGGAGGGGAGAGGGGGAGGGGAGAGGGAGGGAGAGAGAGGGAGAGAGAGAGAGAAAGAAAGAGATAGAGAGAGGGGGAGAGAGGGGTCGAGAATGAGAGACAGTGAGGAACCAACATGCTTTCCCATATATATTGCCATAGTACACTCCTGCATAAAGTTTACATAAGCTGCTGTAAGTACGTATACAAAGCTAGTTAATTAACAAAATATTAATAAATTAACATTCATTTGCATACCCTAACACAGATGTTTCATTCTGCATATCATGGTATTATCCATCATTACATCTGGGTTCATGTAGGTACATATAGATGTAGCATATTTGAAAATATGATACCACCTTTAATGCCATTAGGTATAATGTATAAGGTGCTCAGTGATGGAACGTGTACAGGTTTACACCGAAATCTAATGAGGCAAGCTAAATACAGATTCGGGCAGGCCAGTCAGCTGGGCATAGTACGTAGTTTGTGTGCGAAAGTCACCAGGGCTTGCTATCGCACGGAACAGCATACATTGTGCAGAAGCACTTAGCTTGCTGTCAACGCCAGGGAAATTGAGATTAGACGATTAAAGGGGGAGATTAGAATCCAAATCACCCATCAGTCAGGGTATGTTGGATGATTAAGGGGGAGATATGAAGGAGTATATTGTAAGGATTTAGATAGCTAGTGAAGATAGCTTGTGAAATACAGAGCTTCCTCCAGTTTCCTGACAAGTCAATGGTTCAAGCACAGGGCTAAATAACATATGTTTCTTATTCACATCAGTATGTTCAGTATGTCCTTCATGAATATCATAATTTTTCCTAAGCACATTTAGGACTCTATGTACAAATTTCTCAAATCCTATAAGCCAGTATAAACATGTGTATCTCAGGTTTTTTTAAATCATCTTATTTTTTATCATGTCCCAAGCACATACATGTACATGTATATGTACGTGGAATGCTACATGTATATTACACAGTGAAGGTTACATGTAGTCCTGATGTGTACAGGTAAAAGCTACTTATACATAGATATCATTTTTTGTTTTCTCTCTGGATTAAGATTCAATTATTAATTTTTGCTTTGATTTGATATAAATATAATTCATCTTTGCCAGAAAAATTTGTTTGCATATTTCTATTTTAGCTTAATTACCAATCATATGCAAAATTGAAAATATGTTAAGATACACCTACTACAGATACAGTATTTCCAAACTGATGTAAATTTGTATGCGCACTATCCGAACCATAACAAATCCTGCATACTACTAGCTAATTTGACATTCACAATAATGCTACAAGATATAATTTAGTCAATTGAAAACACTGAACAACATCATAGAGTATGTATTCAAACCATAATTGGGTTTGGTTGGGTGGGTGGGTGGGTGGGTGTGAGGGGTGGTAGACACGTAAATGTACAGCTCAATTATGTAAAAGCCATTATGTGGTCAATGGTGCACAAACACAATTATAATTAATCCAAATTATGGCTTCCAATAACATGTTTTTCTCTGCAATTTCGACTAGGAACAGGAAAACAAAAAAACAAATCATCAGCTGAGAGCTAGAAGGACATTACCTCATATCAGCTCATATAATTTAACACAGACTTAATGCCCTTCTGGCTCTAAACGGGTGATACATTGCTATGTGCCTGAGGGGAAGCATCAAATGAGCTATTGAGATATATCCTTTCACAATGTGACATTTCTGCCCAAATGGAAAATGACTCATGGGATACGTTTACAATGACACTTTCAAATTGGCTAAAAAGCTTTCCAATGCCATTCCAATACATTACTTTGGTTATCAAGGCACTTCACATTTCAATGCATTAAACAAAAAAAATTCATGCATATATCCAACATACAAACCCATTCGTTTTAAATCTCAGAGTAATTCCATTTTGGTAATGTAATCAAATATAATGCATTTATTAAAAGTGCGCTTCATAACAAATTATTTCATTGACTTGTTACAAATAATTGTATTTCAATTTACTCTCATTGTTCAGGAAAAATAATGGTCAATACATGTATGTATATACAGTTTGCAATTAGCCTTGTCCATAATTTCATGCTGAATAAAAGATAATTAATACTACATGTTATATTTAGGTTGTTTCTGTTTCATTTTATGTCAAAACAATTAACTAATGTAACAAGGCTCGCAGCAAATTGGTAGCAATTTAGCTTTCATTGGTAAACATCAATGAATATCAAAAAGCTACAAAACATGAAGTACATGAATATTTCTACTTTTTTTTCATTTCCTCCTTTTATTTCACTTGAACTAAAAAAAAAGTGTGTCTGATACTTTTGTAAATAAGATGATAACAATCAAAATCTTATTTCATTGAAATTAATTCTGAACACCAAGACAAGACAACTCTTTAAATCAAGGAGATAGACACTCGAGCATATTAGAGCAAGGGGTCTGCAGAAATCAGATCCATCATTGACTGCCAGTGTACTTTGCAAATTCCTAAAGGGGATTCCATGCCCTTACAATCTTGTTTTGACTGTCGAGCTTCAATCAAGAACCCACTGAATTGACCGGGAAGAAATGCGGGAATGGTTCGAGCTACATTATAGATTGCCTACAACGACAAGATCGCCAACTGCTCATTTTGCAAACCTTCCATGGCAAATTGGCAATTATTGCACATGACTGCAAATATGATATATACATGTACTTTATTACTCAGGTCGTGTTAGCACTATGGATACTCCCCTCAAAATCTTTGTTATTATCCTCTTCAAAATTGTATTGATTTACACCAATCGATGGATTCCCCACCTTTGTAAAATAAAAAATCATGCCATCACCTCTTCATTTCACTGGGGCGCAAATTTGGTCAGTGGATTACATCGCATGATTATAGCCACTTGCATACAAATTTTGCTTGCTTATGATATGAGTAACATCAATCTTCTAATGTTAATACTGACAGTACTGGTAATAAATGACCAAAAAAATTCAATGACATATGGCATCTTCCAAATATACAATTTTCCTTGACATTTTTGCAAATGTAAGGGATATGTCATCTGTTTGGAACCAGAAGGGTGTTAGCTATGTTTAAAACGACATGAGTTAATGCCTTTCGGGCTCCAAACAGACAATCTGGATGAACTACTGCAGATGATATCTAAATATTTATACAACTGCTAGCCAGTACCTTTAAATGAAGTACTCAACAGTACGTGATTGTCAAATGCATGAATAAACACACATTTCAATGCCATTCCAGCTGAATTGATTTCCGCTCAATATAATACGCATGTATAGCTATGAATAAGGTTTGTTGACAAATCATTTTGCACTGACAGTTGTGAAGCTAGCTTTATGATTTCAGCACCGATTTACATTGCAGCCTTTTGTTAAAGGTTTGTAGGCTGATCAACAGCAAATATATATAATAGGAAGCAAAGCCCTTTCTTTGGTTTTTTAGCTTGATATCTCCCTTTAAAGTATGACAAGTGTTAATGCTCCAGGATGGCAAATTAAGAATGTGATCATATTAGCTTGACATGGTATATGTAGTGGTTTCATATTCGCTATGACTACCCTTACCACTTTCTATCAAGAAACAATGATAATTTATGAATCATCATCCTGTGTCCATGATCAAAATATTACACAAACCTGACTGTATAGGGATTAATAACGGGATACACCCATTTGTAAGCCTACCTGTAGAATATTCATTTGCTCTGGTAACTATTGCCCTGCACTTTATTTCATCAAAAGTACACTTAGGGTTGCGATTTGGGTTTAGGTTAAAGGAGGGTTAGGATTAGGCTTAGGGTTGGTGTTAAGCCTTGGGCTAAAATTAGGTTTTCAATTGGTGTAGAAAAATTGACCCAGGAGCAATTATGTTCCCAAGAGAAGCTTTCGTACGATCAAATTCAAATGTAAATTTGTGCAGGCCTATTGACCCATGGATACAATACTGTACAGGTGTGTATGAACATGTACATATAGCATGATATCTGCTCACGTTCCCCTTCCCCAAAAGAGAAAAAGCAGAAATAATACAAAGACATACACCCTGTACCAACTGACTTATATACAGATATAGATTTGAGGAAGGATCATAATGAAATGAACCAGTAAGATAATTGATCTACATGTTGACCTATATGATAAATATAACAGTATCCAGTCTACATGTGCATGTACATTATGCATTGTATTGTATATACAAACAGAAGGAGATTATCCTTATAATGCACAGTAAATCATATCACGGATGAATGTCATACATCCACGAGAGTTACATTCTCTTGAAATCTGCATAATAATGTTGACTGTATCGTTTATCTATATATAATATGTACACATATCTTTCTCTGTGTGCTCAAATACAGGCCTTTAATCTGTGTTTCTATCTGTCTGGACAATATTCATGGTGAGCATATGTAAGGAGAAAATTGATCTCCCTTTAATCTCTAACTGATGGCTAAATATGGCTATCTACTTGCAGGTGCTGTGCCCAGGCTCATACCCTGGTACTAATGTCATAAATCCAGGATCACAGTTGGTACTTCACACGATTTTATAATGACCTTTGAAACCTATCACACAATAAGTATCATTAACAATAAAAAAAAAACTCTACATTCATGTATGTGTTAATGATAGACATTTCCCAATAAATGCTGACTCATATGTACACATCAGTATGTCATTACATGTTTAAGGACACACATTTTGGGGGGAATAAAAAATCAAGAGGATGATCTGGAGATTTACTGCATAACCTGAGGACCTACTTTTTCCCTGTAAAGCACCGAAATAAACATACCCCTATAGGATGTCATTATGTGAGTGGTCGTCACAGGAAAGGTAGTTCTTACGAGTGTCCACGGTTCCCAACCACCCATGAACCCAACTACACTAGAGAAATTTGGCATAAAACTCACAAACAGTGCATTTCTTTTTTGAAGAAAGAAAAATAATCTTCGAAAGATTTTCATTTGGAAGTCTGCGGAGAATCAAAGAGAAAAGAATATTCCCATGCCTGAATCCAATATCATGTTACCACCATATGTTAAATATGTATCCATCTTTCATTAGCATTTTGTAACTATGTTTTTGTATCATGCCTTAAATTGGCAATAGTTCAAAATTTAATTCTAGCCAAGGGTGTGTTTTCACTGAATTTATCATTACTCACAAAAAAATTTATGTGATATACCGCCCTTCTAAAGCTCTTTTGGACAGATACAGCATGCATCATTAGGTATGATCGATGATAAACATATCATTAATCCTACATCAACTAACATTTGGTTTAAAAAAAAAGAAATTATTCAATTTTTTTTCCTCTTACTTCACATACAAATTTCTATAACCGAGGCATTTTAGGAAAAAGAGGAGAGCCTTTTCACCCTTGACGAATCTGATCAATCCCTTTAAGCAATGTACAAGTCAAATAGGCCTCACCTGTACACTATATTTGCAGGCGCTCTCCCGTGAGTGCTACTCAGCCAAGCACCGAGCTGAGAAAAGTGAAGAAAAGATCTCACAGCTTGCATTAACACATGGAAATGGCTGTAGCCATCGGGGAATCTGTAAGGAAGCGAAGAGAAATGGAAAGGAAAAAATAGCACATCACGGTTTTCTATGGTTACAATTGCTTCTTTCTTGAGGAGAAAATAATGTGGCCTAGCTGCCCCAATTTAAAGTGCATAATTTGCACTCTAGTGTCTGATAATGGCGTATTTGTATTCACCTTGAATTCTGATAGATGTGGAGAGACTGACAGTAAATATCTGATATAGCCATTCTGAGAAGGCAAACAAAAATATATTATGCAAGGAAATCTAATTTGATAGGTTGCAGAGTAAAGGGGAATATTTGCTTGAGTTGTATAAACAAAAGGTTGAAGGAGAATGCAACATATTGCATTACCGGTAAACATATGGTATTTCTTCCATCTCCCACTATTCTATGCATACTGTGATACCAATTGATGTTTTTTGTTACTATATGAGTTTAGGCTGATGTATTGTATCAAAATAAAGCTCAAAATGAATTATTATGATAAAAAGAGACACTCGCTTACATGCATGCAATTGAAGGGAAAATTCTACGAACCAATAAATCTTTAATGATGCAACAATAATGGAAAATCTCAATGAGGAAATTGCAGCTCTCATGAATTTTAATGACAGATTGAGTGCATCTTCCTGGAATATTTGCTATTTTGATTTGCATGATCTCGGGATTTGAATCATTCAATTTTCCCTGGAAGCAAGAAATATTAATCAAAGGGCCTTTTTCCCCTTGGTGGCTTTCAACATAATACTCTAAAATTTCTGACATCCAAATCCCACTGCATAATTAATGTTACTACCTTATGCATGACATTCTTGTTTCACAGTAAAATGTAAACCCTTGAGAGCTTAGAGTATATCCCTTGATTTTTCACAGGAAGTTACATATAAATAAACAATCATTTCTAAAAAAAAATTTTGTTTACATATCTTGGATTACCATTTGAAAAGGAGAAGGGATTGCCTTTGGCATCAATAATGGTAATATTTTTTGCACATTTTAAAGACAAGGAAAATACTTCAGGTAAATTGACAATCCTAGGCAACTGCAATTTGAAAAAAAGGCTGTCTTTTAGTTATTTTAACACAAACAAAATAATGTAAATGTACATAAGAAAAACTAGAACTTGCTTTGATGCAGTTTTGGAATCATCTAAATAATGACAAATTGACTCAATCTTACTGAAAATCATATTCAGTGAAAAGCGCTGTACATAGCAATTTATGGGAATATGCACACATGTAACATCAAAAGCATTTCAAAATTTTAAAAACCAATACTTTTCATGCATTTTCTCACTCATTTTTTGTTTAACTCGAGGGAAACCCGCTGACTCCCATTCGGTTACACATTGATCTAACATCCAGTTCCTATACAAGATCTTCAAACATGGACCAAATGTAATGGACCTACCTCTTAGGTAGGATCTGGATAATCCACTGTTCCAGGACCATATACTCCTGTAGTCCTGGAACCTGTTCCTTGCCCCCTTCTGCCGACGCCCCCACCTCGATGCGGTTCTGGTTACCATAGCAACAGTCCGGATAGAGCAGGGCCTCAACGGAGACGGGAATATCATTGCGACACAAGAAATTGATATAGTCAGTGACGGATGCAATCTGAGCACACTGGAAAACAGACATAAAAAAGAAAGGATACTTTTATAGATTGGAGTACATTCCTAAAAAACGAATATTCCCAAATGCACAATGGAAAACAAAAGGTAGGATATAGGCTTGAGTATACACCCCCCCCCCCTCCACACACACACATACATGTATGGAGAGGGGGACTTGTCTTTAAAATCTGGTTGATCAACTTAACAACCTGACAATGTGTTGGCAATGACATTGATGATGTTAACATGAAATAGAACGATCATGTTTCATTTAAAGCAAGCACAATGCATGCCTCTATTTGGTATGACGGAGCTGTTATGGAACAGTAAACTTACTTCATATAACAATTAGGTTATCTATATCCTTCCTATATTCTATTGCAGGTCTTATAAATCATTCAGAACAAAGTCAATCATGAGATCTCTCTTCATAGCTGTCCATTCATTGAAGAACTGAAATTTTCCTCATATCAACTTCACTACCAAAAGACATGTAAGTCATGTTGTGTATATCTTTTTAGTTGCAATCTAATTCTAATTCAGTTTCAATCCAATTCTGATGCATTGCATGACCTTCATTAGGAATATCAAATCTAAATCTGTCTATGCATGTTCAATCCCACTCCCACTTTTTCCCCATGCCAACAATAACCACCATACTGATTACTGATCAACAATTTATATCCCCTTCGACAAAACAATTCCTGTCATAATCTTGTCTTTGGAATTCTACACCACATGTACTGTACAATCACTGTATAAGCAAGTCTGAATCAACATTCAAGTGAATAGACCAAATATGTACTTGTTTTTCTCGTACAGGAGAGACTGGCCACAGATAAATGTATGTTTGTGAATATAATGTCAAAGAGAAATTGCTCAGTTTTTAATATAATTGGAATATGATGTTTATTAACAAAAAACTTCCAATTTGTACATAATTAACACATATCTGTTGGTCATTTATAGAACAGTGGTACCCAACAGGAATTATTTGCACATAATACATTATGTAGGTCGTAAGTATACATCAATTTTTTTTCTTCAGTTCTATATAGAGTATTGTTTCAGTCATTTAATAAACTACATTACTTATTTAGTATTTGCTTCCTGAAATCTAAGAATTTGAAATCAAATATGAGAAATAGTTAAATAACAACTTTAAAGGACTTAATAACCTATTTATAATCCATGCTTTAGGAATAAATTACTACTGCGCAACATATATGCTAACTGAAAGCGAATAAACCTAAATTGATAATTAACCACAAGCGTGGCATTAATCACTATTTAGCTCACAAATCATTGCCTTAAATGAAAATGATCTCATCTTTCACCCAATGTTGCATGTTCAATACACTCCTCCTGGCATCATTCACATATATCGTAGCAGTACATTGGTAAATGAAATTCATAATGTATAGTGCTATGTGGAATGCAATTCATAGTACGGTATGTTTCAGTGAAATATGTGAGCACTCACAGGTGATCTATGATGTGAGATATACACATGCATTCCAAATTTCAACCCCCCTTTCACAAATCCCTGAAATGTAAGTTTCTACTTCTAGATGTGCGCGCCTCTAAATAATAAATGTGGCTCGATTATTACTAGTATTAAAAACAGACCTTATGATCATTTACCGTTTGAATAATTGCCATCAGGAAAGTTCTTCTTCTTTTAAAAGCAATAACAAACATGCAGACATATACTTCCAGAATATACATGTATGAGCAAACTTGTATAGTTCAATTGGTGAAATGTAGATTTCATTTAGATGTAACACATTACTTCGTCAAGCTAATAAAATTACTGCCAAAGTCATTTTTTGACCAAACTGAAATTTGAGCTCACTCATGTCTTTTTTTTTTAAAGAGAACAACCTACTGTATTATTTCAGGCAATACATGTAAGTACATTTAAAATCATTTTCTTTTTCAGAATTTCTTTTGCTTCTTTTTTTATAAAAGTAGTAATGATATGGGCAATTATTTCATTAATGTGATGATAATTGGTCATACTGAAAGTGCACATATTTATTATGCATGTAGTAAAAGCCTACTTAGGACTAACATTTAAACTCAAGATAATCCTGAATCGACTATGGTAATATATAATTCACAAAGTAAAAAAGATGGATGTAACTAATTATATTTCACATTTTTACAAGGGAAGTTGTTTGATTTGAGATCGGGAATGATTTTGGACTTTAAAAATAAAAGAAAGAGCGGTATTCGCAAACAAAAAACACACCAAGAAATAAGCATGGTACATCACCCTTCCCAAAGAGATGAATATTGATGACACAGCGACATGTAAATTGTAGATTCTACTGTACATATGGAATATGGATGCATCAAGTCTGTCAAGTCCATGGCCAAATCAATCACACAGGTTGAGCCTCTAAGGGCTTCATTTCTCTCTAATTCTTCTCTCTCCAACAAATTAATTGAATCTATTCAGTGTCATCGACAATACTAATAGCCATCTTTACAATATTACGGGCAGACAATTTATTCTCAAAAGACTGGCATTGGTCGATCTCTGAAAAGAGAATTTCTCCTTTGTCACCAATACTGATATGAACCTTGGCATATTAAAGATAAGATAAGAAAAGAAGAAGAAAAAAAAGGATGGAGGAGGGGAGGGAAGAAGAAAAGAAAAAATGGAAGGTATATTTGCCCAGGGGTAATAGTGAGAGTTTGCCAGACAACATAGAGTAAGGAACAGCTCTATTACTATACCTACATGAATGTCTAAATCTTTGGTTAATCATCTTGTTTACAAAGAATCCCTTCCAGACATCCTATATTTTCACCTGTGCATTCTTACCATTCCAAGAATTTGATCCATAAATGTATGCTCAGTTGCACTCGGAGTCACATTTCTGCTAATCTCATTCTCTGGAGTGTATACTGCATAACATATAACAAGACTCCACACTAACTTTTTTGGAAGAGGGTCTGGATCGAACTATTTACAATCTGTCTGCATGAGCCCTATGTAATATTCAAAATCTTTTAGATCTGACCTTAGAATGTCGGTGCCCATGTATCCCAGACGCCTGTATTTGTTGACTCCTGCATATACTTTTTCCAGATATGATTAGGAATCTCAATATTCCTCCCCCACCTCCCTCCTGCTTCTTCTTTCTCATCTTCTTCTAATTCTTTCCACATTTAATGCATTTACTAAAATATAAATAATTATGTTTTTAGTTATGAATGTCTAAAATCTTTAGGTCAGGTAACAAGAACAACATACCATGTTGATTCTCTTAAACGATCTACCAGAATATCAAAGTAACCCCCTCCCCACCCCCTTTCCCTCTCTCTTGGATGTGGCAACATTTCCAAGAACAAATATCAAGCATGTAGCTGCATAAAGGGGGAAAAAATGGTTGAAAGCATTCTTGCAAACAGAGAGAGTGAGAAAAGTAAATCATTAACATGTTCTTGGCATATTTTCAGTCCAAGCAGCTGCACCAAGTGCATATAGACGTATGGAAATGAAATTGTTTTGTTAGCAAAGCGACCATACACTTATATTTAGTATCACAGCCGTGACTGGAATACATCCTGCTTCAAGAATGAAAATGAAAAGCGTGAGGGGAAAGAAATATACCATTTTCTCCAAAGATATTATAACATCACCAATTTTATCCCTTAAAATAGATTAAATATAGTAAGAAATTGCTTTTGTACACACATACATGTACACTGATGGGTGATCTGCAAGATGTTTGATCCAGACGTATTGTCAAAGATATGTACTAAGGGTACTAAGGTTAGGGTTACAATTATGTTTTAGGTCAGGTTTAGGGTAAGAATTAGGTGCTTGGTCCGGGGGGTGCAGGAAGTTTTTTGTAACTCGTTTAGAGTAGGAAATAGGAGCAATTATCGCTGATCATGTGCTGCACAAACATACTGAAGAAAAGTCAATATTTCTACGTCGTCCAAACTCTTATTAAGATGGAAAAATATTTGTGAGGGCCATGTACAAATGTAGTTTTAAGTCAACCTATAATGTTCAGCTATTAAAAACAAAACTGCCCTAGAATGTATACTATATGCATATATACAAAGATTGATAACAAATGTTTTCTCTCTAATTCATAAGGGTGTCACCTTTTAAAAATGGTATATTTACATCTATATCAAGTTATCTCTAAATAAAGGAAAATTTGTTTTTGGTAACATTATTTTTTCTTCAAAAGAGCTTTGTCCTGAGAACTCCTTCAACATTTCAATTTCCAAATGGAGGAACTTCAAGCAGTCTATGCAGTTGTCGTGGCAACACAATGTACGTAATGTCTTTGTCTTGCACTGTGGTGCAAACAGAGGAAATTAGTCTGGATATATAAATAATTACATCTGAAGACAAGAGGAAAGCCCTATAAAAACATGTAGTAAAAGAGCTGCCCTGGACACGTTCTTGTTGGATAATTCAATTGCTAAAGAATATTATGCTCTTGGCACCATAATGTGTACATTTTGCCAATAAATGAAGAAGGGAAAAAAAATCATCCATTGTTTGTAGGTCAAAGTATACACACTGCAATATGTAAGCATATCTCTAGGCCAACATGTATAATGTACATGTATGTACCTACATGTGTATGTGTGAGTAGGTACTACATGTAGTCTCCCCTTGATTTTGTTTTCTTACAATTTACAATGCATTGTAAACCTAAAGATCCATCAATTATGAAGGGCTTCATACAAATATTTTTTTGTGGGGAGGGGGAATGGGAGGGGGAGGGGGTCCACAGGGAATTCTTTGGGGGTATAAGTGTGCATTGATTTGCTCTGAGACCTGTATACATTTTAAGTCTGTGAAAACATTTTGTTGTTTGTACATAAAGATTTGTGATATGTTGTCCCTTTAAAATGTAATAAATAATGGAAAATTAAGATATTCAAAATATTTCAAATGATAAAAAACACACCTTAACAATGATCTCTCTTTAACTACTTGATACAGTGTATTGTGTTTCATAAATGTGTGTATAAAATCACTTAAATGCTCTCTAATTTCTTGCATTTTTAAAAAGGGTTACATATCCTCTGTTCTGAGCCAGAAAGGCATGAACTCTGTGTTAATGTATTTTGGCTCCAAACAGAAAATATCTACTTTAAAAAGATTGTTTGAAACGATATCAGATAAAATGAAAAAAATAAATTCAAGTACCAGTACCTGAATCAGAACGATCCTCGTAGTCATCTCAAGTTATTGGAAGTTACAATGTATTTTAAATTTTGATTGCAATCTCTCTATGGTACCATAGTTTGTGACTTCATGGTAATAAACATGTTAGACACTGCATCTGTCACTTCTGATCTATTTTTGGCTAAATTGAGGAAACGCATTCATAATTCTGTCACAACCAATAATCAGGCAGGCATTACCACAGACCCATATAAATGAGTGCACCTATCATGGATAGTGAGTGCATCTATGCTCGCTGGTGCTGATAACATATGGCTAGCAATTACTGTACTACATGTACAATTGACAACTAAATTATTCATACCCTTAACAAAAAATTGAATTGTCCTGATTAACGTTCTTTAAGAATGTGACATATTAAAGCTTTCATCTAGAAGTGTTCACAGAGGCCTCAATTCAAGCAGTCCACCTTACATTTTTGAGGTAAGGACAACACGATACCATCAAATTTAGAAGGGATATGAATAATTTAGTTGTTAATCATATATATATATATATGTTTCATTTTTTAAATATTTTAGAACATGACGACTACCAGGAAAATGGGTGGATTAATCACGATTGTTGGAAATGGTAGCGGGAGAGTCGAATTTTCTAATATGCATGACCCCCCCCCCCCCCCCCCCCCCGAAGGAAATTTAATAATATAATATTGGGACGCCACCCCATAGTCTCTAAGTACTGGACAGGGAATAGGATTTTCTCTCCCCCATTCTCTGTTTTTGTTTATTTACCCAATTTCCCTTTTTCTTTTCTCATAAGGGCAGGGAGGACCGGAGATGGGGTTTGGCCACATTGATCTGCCTACATGTATACATTTGGGTCCGACACAAAACATCTCCCCCTGGATATATATGCAGTGTGAGATTTTCTTACATGGTAATTAACTACTTATTAATTGAAAGTATACAGAAAACTGGCAATTTAAGAAAAAAAAAATAAAACTCGCTGTTTTCACAAATTTCATTCTATACCAGTACACCTTTTAGTGAGGTGTTGACTGTTCACATAAAAAAAAGAATATTTCCTTAATATGAAATTAACAAGATAAGGAATAACATCAAGTAGATACAGCACTGAGGTGAGCACATTCACTAGAAAAGAAAAGATGATAGGCCGTCCTTTCAAATGAATCGGCTTACTATCAAAGTCTTTAATAAAATAAAATTTCTGATATACATGTACATGATCTGTACAGTACCCATATGTAAAACTTGAGCGATAAGCTATATAAAAAGTGTACCTGAACTTGACCCTCAGCTATTATTTCGGGAACTGCACTCCCTCATTTTATGGGTACCAGCATATTTCTTTTCCTGTCAGCGACTTTCACAAATCCCCAAGTTCCAGAGCTTGTGAGCTTACCGTTTCCTTGTTAAGTCGACACTGATGCATGGAAGTCCCATGGGCAGGTGGGCAGTGGTCACCTTCGGTCCTTCCCTTAGCTGACCATTCTGCCTGCCTTCCTTCCAGGATAAGAAGGGTCAGGTCAGCACAGAGCTGGGCGGGTAGCCACTCCCATTCCGCACCTTCGTCCAGAGGGACGTCTCCTCTACTCGCCCCCTTGGTTATGTAATCTGCAGAAAAGAGATGCAGAAAAGAGATTTAGAAAAGAGTTTCGGGAATGGTGACATCTCAATAAGGTATAAATCCTGGTATTGGCATACATATCTTCTGTTTGGAGTAAGAAGGGAATTGATGCATACATTAACCATAGACCATACTTTAATACACACTTTTCAGTTAACGCCCTTCTGGCTCTGAACAGACGCCATATGCATTTATAATCTTCGTCCCAGAAAAAAGATGTATAGCCTATGCCTCATCAAATGATTAGATAGTTTGTCAAGTAATTGTAGGTTTACAAACTAAAGCTGCTGTCCATAGGAAAACACTACATGAGTAAAAGATAACAATAAATCAAAAGTGCTCATCTAGGATGAATGAATGGACGTAAACATGACAAACGAAACCAAGTGATTGGCTCATAAATTGTTCAGCACATAAATGCACTGAATACACAAATGCCATCAATTTATATCGTCAATCATTTCATATTACAATTAAATATGAATTACTGCTATATGGTCTCCCTCTGCGATTTTAAAACAAGCTTCAACTTCTCATCATAGAGACAAGCAAATTGTATGAAAGTAATTTTGTACAGCACTCCCGTGTTAGTGTCACTAGTGTGTGACTAATTGTTTAATCACAGATATTTACAAGCAAGTACTGGTAGATCTACTTCCTACATGTAAAATTAGTTTTGTTTTCTCTTATATCATTATCAAATTAAAGTCAGACAGGTGTTCTAAGTAAAGAAAGACATTTCATGCTTTTCACTACTACAGACTTCAAAGTGATGATTTAGCAGTGTATCAAATCTATATCTGTTATACAGAATACTACTCATTGTATCTACATGTACATGTAGGCATACACATACATACATGTAAGTATACACTGTAGGTACAAAGAAGATACTTGAACAACATGTTCATGCTGAAATATTTATAATTACATACACTGTATGTAAATAGATATGAAGTATAACATTCTTGGGAAATTTCTGGAACTACAAAGTACCTCAGTGGAGATGGTAAATATAATATTGGATAGATTTACCTGTCATGAGTAAGTACAGCATGATGTAAGATAATGTTCAGCAAACCTGCATAGAAAGACCACATATCGTACATCTACATGTATAGGTGGTCTTTATACAGACTATTTCCTGAATAGAATTAAAGAGAAAATGCATGGGAACATCATCCAGCAGTGTCTCTAAAGACAGTCTTTCTTTCATGCATTTCCTACGTGGTCTTTATTTACAGGTTTGCTGGTCATTAAAAAAGAAAGAAGAAGGTAAATAGAACTCTTGGGGGTAGTGACACAAAGGTGAGTAAATCAGGAGGAAATAAGATGATCTGCTGGTCCTGGGGTGGTGGGAAGGAAGTTGGTATTGAGGTAGAGAAAGAACAGGAAATATCACATTGTTTTTTCAAAAGGAGTCAGGAGGAAATATTTAGGAAACTTACATTTTATGTACCACCCTATCCCAAAACATCTTGCTGAAGTGATTTCTTGTAGGATTATCCAGGTTTTTTTAATTTATACTCCAAGAGAGGTAGAAAACACCATGAGTATATCATATTTTGCTTTTGTACAATGCACATTTGCATTTAATCTTGTATGTCCACAAACATTATGTAAATATTGTAGACATACGTAGTCCTATGGATAAACTGTTTCAGTATGGTATGTACAATTCACTGCTGTTATGAACTTGTCAATTTCAGTATCCTTCAAACATGTTTGTCTCCTACTGCTACATGTATTTATTCATCACGCTACGTGTATGGTAACGAGAGCAGACATTGAACCAACACATGGTACATCTACTTCCACACATACAGTATGTACAGTTGTACAGTCCATCAATTTATTGAGACATGAAAAAAGGCTTTGTGTATCCCCTACACAGGATCGTGATGCAAAATTATGGAGCTTGATCAAACTCATATTTAACCGATAATAATAATAATAATAATCTGGTTTTTTATATAGCGCTCAATACACCGATCCAACGATGTACCTAAGCGCTTTACAGATATATATATATATATACAGATATAAATACACTACATTCAAGAATGAAAGAAATAACCCTTTATGTACTTGCAGCTTTTATTGTCCATGTATTTAAATGCAAATTGAAAAAAAAAACCTGCACATGTTCTGTATTAAGGTAATGCAACATTTAAATATTACAATAATATGGAGATTCATTTCAACAAAAATTAGCGCTGGCTTGTTAAATCTCTATTTAAAATATCTCCTTATGTGTGTGTGTGTGTGTGTGTGTGTGTGTGGGAGGGGGGGGGGGCATGCAGATAAGAAAAAATGGGTTCATTACTGAAAATAGCACAAGCCTCTCGTGAATGTGAGGTTGGGAAAATCAATATAGGTTCCACACAGGAAACACAAGATCATCCCCTACTCTCTTTATGGCTACATCAGCTTATAAATAGCTCGGATAAAAATAAATCTTGCTTTCAGGAGGAAAAAATATAAAACCCCTTCCTGTTCCTTCCCTTACAGGGAATACACCACAGTGTAAATAGAATTCATTAAAAAGGCACCACACACAAAAGGCAAATGGAATCTTCATGACTATCAGGACTATTGTGGAATAATTCATGAACTAAAAAAAAAAAAAAAAAATCATGATTTTAATAAGCTGATTATTTGGACCTTATACAGGTAAAAGTAGATCACTGTAACTTTGGTAAATGATGTGCATGTCATAAAAAATATGATAAGAATTAAAGGCATGTGAGAAATAAGTTTTAACGTAAATGTAGATAAGATGAAACCAGTGAGAAAGGATATAACATATTTTTTAGTTCCCTACAATGAGCAAAAAGCATTCATTGGCAGCATATACAGAGAGAAAGACATAAAAAATGATGAAAAAAAAAAATCAGCATTGTATTTTATAAGCAAACTCACATGAACATGTACCCTCCACATCAATGCCAGCCATTTCAATAGCAATTTAGCTTCCAACTGCAAAAAGCAGCACTACAGGATGAAAGTGGTTCGTCAAACGTCAAACCAACAGGTTTTCAATCATGAATAGAGGCATTTTCAGGTCTCAACTTCACAGGGAAGTGGCCACTTTTGATCTAATTTAGGCACAGAATGGCACAATTTTGTTGAGCAGAAGGGTATAGCTCTGCTGTGCAGTGTGTTACTGTGGTAAATACATTATTCATTAACTTTCCCAGGGAGCTGCCCACATCTCATGCATATTCATGAAATTTCAAGGCACTACCCATTTGAGGGCTTGACAACATGGGCATGGGAGCATTCAGGCCTTTTGATTGGACAAAGGTTCCCCTGCTTTGCATATGAATGCATTCATGAATTGGCACCAATTTATCTGCAAGAATTAATCGAGGAATACCAACCCTCACGCAATTTACGGTCTTCTTCACAATTAAACCTCGTATCTACTTCTGTGTCAACTCTCTCTTATGGTAATCGCTCCTTTCGCAAAGCTTCTGCTGAACTTTGGAACAGATTACCTTTAAATGTAAAAAACTGTCAAACCGTTAACCTATTCAAAACTAGTCTCAAGACACATTTATTCAAAATTGCGTTCGATGATTAATTAACTCTGTTCACTTTGATGTGTATTCCATATGTATTGTAATTTGTAGGTTTATTTGCATTTTTAGTTTTGTATAAGATGTAATTGTATATCAGTCTATTTTGTGTGTATAGCGCTTAGAGACTTCGGTGGTAAGCGCTTTATAAGTAACGTTTTTATTATTATTATTATTATTATTATTATTATGACCCTGTAACCTCCCTGATCAGCTGTCTACACACATGCTGTTCTGCGTGTATATTTGTATGGTGTAGCTGGGTATCACTATCAGTGTGTTTTTGTAATAAGAGTAAAGCGCTCATCCCTGCATAGCAATAGTTGCTGAACATACAATAAGTGCTGCCACTGCCACATATGCAATACTGATCAATTATATGATGTAATACCTTAGCCTATATAGATTGGATTATCTATATTAATTCTAGTAGGCCACGAGACTATACATACAGATTTCAGATTGAAAAAAAAAGAAGTAACAAACAACCAAGTAAGAACAAAACAATATGGTACAAATACATACTGTACACAGCTTCCTACATACAGTATGTAGGAAGCTGTGTACATTTATATGTATTTGTACCATATTGTAGATTATATGTACCTGGCAACATATACATAATATAAAGTTCATTGATACACGTAAACTATTGTAGTGCTTTCTTGTGTGTGGACATTACAGTAGGGCTATACATAACTAAATAACTACATACCCTACTGGTAATTATAAATAACATTACATGTCCCTCTGAAATACACATTACGAAAACATAAACAGTAATGCCCTTTCAAGTTTTCACATGGATATAAAGAGATAAATGTTTATATGCCATTAAATTGAACACTACAACAACAAAAAACAAAACAAAACAAAAAAAAAAAAGAAAAAAGGATACCGGTAGGTGATTCTTTAAAAAAAAAACTGTCTTAAAAAAAATACTCACATTGATTGAATGAGAATGAGAGAGGAGAATCTGTGACACAATAAAGTAGATAGGATATCCTAAATAAATGTTTGTTTCCTGCATGCTTCAGTATGAGTCTACTAAAATGAGATGTTATCGTATGCTGCCCTTTTCCATTGTTGGAATAGGTCATCCATCGCTTTGTAATGTCAGTTTTAATCTAATAGATCAGACACAGCTTACTAATCGTAAATAGGGTTTCAATAAATATCTCAGTCCCAAGCATTCATTGATTCCTGTAACATGTAGAATAACATTTGTTTCTTGTTTGGTCTCATGGCCTGTACATGTAGGTCTACTAGGAAGTCCCAGTTGCAGTTGAGGCAACCATACAATGTTTCATTCATTGTAAATACATGTATATCATTATACATATATCGTACCATCAAAGCATACATGTATATGAACATATGTATTAAATCAAACCATTAACACGCACTCATTCGAAACAGCATCTTGTCTAAACTTACATGTACTAAAGACTACCGATGAAGAAAAAACGAAAGAGTATGACATGCACATCTACATCAAAGTGTACATCTATACCCTCAGGCATGTTCTGCATTTCATTTTGGTAACGAGCTACTGGTTTAGCCCCAGGCTAACCATATAAATATCATACACTGTGGCAAATAAACATGCATCCGTGGCTGTTCAAAGGACTGTACAGTACTGTGAGTTTTTAGAAAATACAACTGCATCTTCCATTTCTACGTATGTACCTACATGTAGCTAAAGCAACTGAAATATATCACAGGTTTTTCACCATCTAGGCACTTGCAGGCCTCCACTTCATGATACCTTTAGGTTCTGCGATATGTTTGTACTCTGGTTTGACCATAGACGTCTATGGTTTAACCATGCATATCAACACACTCTTGTGTGGTTGACTGTAAATAAAAAACTTTGTTTACCTCTAGATGGGGATAACAAGTCTTTGGAATGGCCTTCCATATCCACACCCACAGTAGTCTACAGGCACAGACTTTATTTAATACTAATAACATTCCACAAAGCCTTGAGCTCAGTCTAACTTTGTCATCTCTGGCTGTGTCAGTAGCAGCTGTAATTACAGGGCCTGATTGGAGTGCAGCGGACCATGAAGTCTTCATAGTCTCACAGTTCAAACATTGTTACACATTACATTTACTTTACGATCATCAGGGGTTTGTCACCTTGTGCCTGCAAACAAACTCAGTCCCTAGTGTAGTCACCAGACCCACAGTCACTATCTATGAAGGTCACCTACACATCTGCAGTGTCTGTTTCTCCACTTGTTTATTGATCTATCATATCAATAAATGAATATTCATGAGGATACACCTCTCTGGACAAACACAGCACCCAGTTGCTTAGATCTGTTATGTTTTGCTGGAGATAAGTAGAGCTGTGAGTAAATGGCCAGCTTTTGAGGTGACTTACAAGGAAAACATACACAAGTAAATAGGAATTTACCTTCACATTTTAATCTCCTGTCCCTATTAAATTAATCCCAATTTAGGAATAACAATGCATAGACTCTATGATGAATACAAGGACTAGTAATAATAAAAATAATACAAAAACGGTGCTTATAAAGCGCTTTCCACCAAAGTCTCTAAACGCTCTAGTACACAAACTGGAGTCTGCATTTGTAATTTGTGGCTCATGGAATATTTTGGATTACCTACTGTAGACATAAACTGTGTAAACAGGTACAGGTAGTGCAGTGGAGAAATAAATAAGTGGGCGTGGCGAACGATTTAGAGGATAGTAATTCTTATAGGGTAATCTCATAAAAAAAACAGCTCTGGTGAATATGTAAAACAAATGAAAACTGGTACATAAAGTTGCTAAAAGGGAATCTCATTTTTATATGGCAAATCGAGAAAAAAACCTCTTGCAAACAGAAATGTCATCATTTTCTACAGGGACTTCTATTATGTATCAGGTGTAGAATTTATACTCTGTGTTGCTGTGCCCGACAGTCTACTGCCATGGATAGATGAAGCGTGACATGCTACCCATGGGGGAAGGGGGAATCAATATGAATGAAGGATAAAGAAAGGACATAGGTCATAACCATTTCTCATCCAAGGACATTTGTATTATGTGGCACATAAGAGAAGGCCGGAGTATACTCAAGGGAAATACAGAGACTACAGATGAGGAAAGGTAAAATGTTGTCTATATTGACAGACATGAGGCTATTTAGTATTATTGATCTCAAAGAATGGTAACAGGAACATTTAAAAGCAAAAAGAAAAAAAAAGAAAAAGGGAAAGAATCATTGTAAAGCGAAAGGAGCATATAAACATGAATCTGTGAATGAGTTTGGTATAAATTGTCCTTTATTAATCTGAACAGGACATTAGATTTCATTTTGTTATTACAGCTTCTTTACAAAGAATCTTTGTGAGGCAAAAGAAGCATATAAATGTGTTTCTGCGAATGAATTTTGTATAAATTTGTAATTGTCCCTGAGTCTGAACAGGCCATAAGATTTCATTATACTATTATTTACAGCTCCTTATTTTGTTATTAAAGCTCCTTATTTTGTTATTACAGCTTCTTTACAAAGAATCATTGTAAAGTGAAAGGAGCATATACACGTAAATATGTTTCTGTTCTTGAGTTATATTGTCCTTTAGTCTGAACCAGCCAAAGATTTCAATCTGTTATTGCAGCTTGGACCACCATGGACAGGGTGTGGTTTGTACCTGTGTGTCCATTTGTGTTATTTTCCCCCTAACCGCACAGCACAAGAAAGAGAAGTTATTCAAATACAACACTTTACACTCACAATGAGTCATCTGAACCTGTCGAATGTGTACAATATTTGTCAACATCACATATTAGGCAAAATTAAAAAGGCCCATCTATACGCGGATACTACTTAATTTGTAACATTTCGAGAAATGTCAATAGTAAACATTAAAAAATATTGCAGGAAATAAAACAGAAAGGGGATAAAGAACAAATATTACCTATGTAGAATGTCGATAGCACTTGAAAGAATATAGTTTTTTACATTGCTGAAAAAGTGTCCTGTTTGATTTCCTTGCATTTTAGGACAGATTTGTGCATAGTTTAAATACTTTTTTTTTTACCTTAGAAAAATGAATACTATGATCTTGAACATTTTTGTGTAGAAATTTGTTTTGCGAAGTATGCACAATACAAAAGAACTTCCCCTTTCTCATGCTAAAAAAAATTATTGTTTCAGTAATATACAGTTCTTCTTGTTCCCTTACCCACATAATAATTTGTGTAATGGCTGGAAATTGTTACTGTTCGGGCGCGTTCATGCTTGATTTTGACGGCCAGAATCAGGCATCTGTTACGCGTTTAGTTTAAAACACGGTTGCGTCTTAGCTCACTTTTGTAGAATCACCGAAAAACGGCGATCACGATCGCCGATCGTAAACTCACAAAAAAGATGCGTTTACAATTTGTAAACGCGTTTAAATGGGGTCAACGCACTGACCTCTAGTGGGTCTACGTAGCATGCACAGTGAAGGTTTGCGAATCCAGCTGGAAGACCAATTAAGGCCACACACTGAGAATTGCCTGGGGGAGCCAGAGAAGTAAGCATGAACACTACATCGTGGAACTGC